TGTCCCTGAAGCGACTCTTGCGATAGTAGCTGAGCGACAGTAGCTCAGCGATAGTAGCTCAGCGATAGTAGCTAACCATATCATTGTCCCAGAAGCGATTGTTCTAGAGCGATTCTGTTCATTAGTTTGCTGACTTTCGAGTGAATTGGTGTTACTGTATAAGTGCCATGACACCAGCTAATTTTAAAACGTTTTTATTAGCTCACTTTCTTGTCCGGTACAAACTTTGCAATCAATAATTTATAAATATGTGGAGAGAATAAATACTTGTAAGAAATAAAACGAAAAACTTGGGGCGCATGCAATGGATAAGCAATAGGTGAATAGGTGATTGGGGTTCAATAGGTGAAGATAATTGTAAAATTAGTATGCGCCCCACGTTTTTCTTTAAATCTTCAACTATTTATTCAATACATATTCTGTACTTTATAGTGCGTTTAAAAACGTTGCATTTTGAAAAAGTTGTTTTTTTTATATTTATAATTTATAGGTAATAGTAGTGATTTAATATTATGTACATATCTCATATCTTCTTCAGGGGTAAAAAGCAGTTTTATATTCTTTGAAGACATTACGACCAAAACCCGTCCAAACCTACAAATCGCTCAGCGACTGCGACTCTGACTCCCCTCAGAGCAGACCCGCTACAGTCGCTGTGTTCAGCCGCTAGCCGCTCCAGTCGCAGTCGCGTCAAGGACAATGGTCCCATTTGAAACAACGCTAACCAGTGCTCAGCTACTATCGCTGAGCTACTGTCGCTCAGCTACTATCGCAAGAGTCGCTTCAGGGACAATGCACCTTTACGAAAAAATGTTTGGAACAAAAATTGAAGAACATCTTATTATCTATACTTTTCTCGCTGAAAGTTTTCATCTGACCAAAAAATAAAAAAAATCCTCGCTCACTTACTTTTTCATGTTTACATTGAACAACCTTTTCATATTTTCCATTATTAAACATTAATCATCTGCACGAACTAAATTGTATTTATATAGTATTAAACATCAGTTTACGCAGAATTTAAATATGTAAATTTCATCCTCTCACTATTTGTATTACAATTTAGACGAACGTGCAAAGCGACAGGGAACGCACCACTTCGAATAGTCTCGCCAACATCGGAAACTCTCTTCCAGCATGTGTGTGTGTAATGGGTGCGTGTGTGTGCGTACGTTATCGTTTCCTGCACAGACTGTACCCATTGTCACTTGGAGTTATGAAACTTGGTGTTATGAACCCTTGGAGTTATGAAACTTGGACTTGTGGTCCTTGCAAATCTGTACGTTTGGAGTTATGAAATTTTGTATTTTAATTTACTTGGTTTTATTTTAACTTGGACTTATGAATCTTGGAGTTATGAACGCTTAGAGTTATGAAACTTGGTCTTATGATATTTTGGTTTTAATTTACTTGGACATAATTTTACTTGGAGTAATGAAATGTTGTATTTAAAAGTACTTGGAGTTATGAAAACTTGGAGTTATGAACCTCACCCCTTTAATACTTATAGTATATACCCAATTCGTATATACCAAAAGCAAAAATGTGGTTCGGATTCCACTATAAACTGTAGGTCGCTTGGTTGCCATCAGCTGTATCGGCTATTAATTAACAGCTGTGTCTAAGAATATGTCGGCCTTAGTCACTAACAAGACTACAAGATCGCGCCACTCATCCCCATTCATACTTGGCTTAAAATACCTACTTTGTATGGTCGCTATTTCATTGAAAAGAAAAGTAAAAGAATAGAGCTTAAGAAAACAAATAATTTAGTACATTGAAGCGTTATTATGTGCCTAATGGTTATGGAGAAAGTTCCCAAAAATTGTAAATTTAAAATTTCCAAGTTATTCTTATGGAGAATAAGTCAACTGTTGTAGTTTGCTTGTCTATACAGTAGACTCCCTCTAGTTCGGCTTCGGTTCAATCGGCCGCCGGATGGTCCGGCCCGGTCTCAGGGGGACAAGTCATATCGTCACTGGCGAATGACCTTCGACAGGATTCAACTTGAATGTTTAGTTTCCGGCCATAGAAGAAAACAATTCATGTCAGTTTAGTTGACGGGTGCTTCTATAGGTGAATTGTTACATGTGTTGGGTGAATGTTACATAACCTCAAAAATACCAACCACATTTTATAAATAGTTTTTCTTCTTTCTAATATGTTGATATGCAGTGTATAATTAAATATTTCTGACCATTTTTTTATGCGGTAGGTTCCCCCATTATTGCTTTTGAAACACCACGGTTTATTTGACAAGCAAAACAAAGAAATAGCCATCGTTAGCTTCAAGGTCAAGCTATCAGATTGCACTGACAATCATCTGCTCTTGCTCTTTACACAACTGATGTCTGCTGTGCTCTTGCTAGTGATGCGCCATTGTGAGATGTTACAATCGAAACGTTTTGATTACCTCTCGAGGCATTTCGATTGTATTTTTGCTTAGCGAGAGGTTCTTACCGAGAGGTTTTATCGAGATGTTCGTGACAATAGTTTCGTTTCAGCACGGCTTCTCTTCTCACGTATCTCGCATTCGTCTAGAGACCCGAGGGGCGAGAAGGCCTTATCTTATCTTATGTAACAGGGGCAGGTCGAGACCTTAAAACACTTCATCCGAAATCGAATTATTGCGCACCCCAGACAATTGTTTTCTTGTTGACCTTACAAGTTAAGGCGCCCAATGAATGCCTGTAGCTTCCCAATTAGTTCATCCTCAGGAAGATATCTTCCTCTAGCCATATTCCCAAGAGTTATTAGTCTAGCGTCAGAGAGCTCGTTACAATCAAAGAGTAAGTGATCAGCTGTCTCTTCTGACCTATCACAGTACCTACAGATCGGTTCACCATCATATAAGCCCATCCGCTGTAAATGTTTCCTGAATCCCCCATGACCAGTTATGAGTTTTTTAACAGTTAATTTAATTCTTCGTATGTCTAGTCTTAAGAGGTCAGAGGCAACCTTTTTGGAAGGCCTAAACAGAGTAAGCTTGCTGACCCTGAGAAGGGGTGTGTCGACCCAGCGTTAGCGATGCTTTTCCTTGGCCCATGACACAATCGCAGAACATGCGCTGTTTCGTGAGATGCCACAGAAGGGACAGAAGGGATCAGAAGGGATAAGATAAGGGCCTTTCATAGTTGTCGCAGAAGCAGTGTTTGCCAATCTATCTGCAGCTTCCTTACCTTTTATGCCTGAGTGTCCTGGCACCCAGCAAAGCGTAAGATTATTTCTCCTACCCAACTCAGACACAGAAGCAAGACAGTCCCACCCGAGAAGGCCTTTACCAAGAGTCTTTATAACGAGATGTTCATGGTGATTGTTTTGTTAAGTGCGGCGTCGTCATTTATTTATTATTATTATCATCTAATTTCTATTGTATCTGTCAGGGATTGACCCCCTTACTTCAAACCATGGAAGGTTGATGAATATAAAACTTACTTTATCTACGGAATAGTGACTTAATACCACTCAATAAAAACTATTGACAAGACGATATATTTTACAAACAAAATGTTTATATTTAAATCGAAATGTTTATAAGGAGACACAAGGTTCTCATAAATGTTATGTTAACAGTATTATTTACCATTACCCATTACTTTAAAATAATTTTCTATTTCTGTTGCCATGACGGAGTGACGTAAGTGCTTATTCATAAGTCAGCAGTATATATGTTGTGCATAATAGTCTACTATTAAGAAGAACTATTATAAGAATCTAGAAAAAGAACTAACATCCTCGTAACAACTCTCATGAAATGTAGACAGATGCGAACAGACGTTTAGGCTTAACAAATGCAACAATCGAGAGAAACATCTCGATTGTACAAACCTCTCGCTACGCAATCAAAACAATCGATAAGCGGAACATCTCGAGAAGGAACATTTTGATTGTTCAAACATCCCGCAATCGCGCATCCCTAGCTCTTGCTATCTCACAAGAGTTTGTGATTTTGGTGATTAGTAACCATGGCAACTTGTTGAATGTGTGGATAAAGAGAAACCAAAGAAAGAATAGAGGAACAAAGAAGAAAGAATAAGCGGTGTTTTTCGTCATCCATTGTTATCTTTATGATATTTTACGACTGTCATTATTATCTTTAAGACTAAGTAGGCCTACTATGATTTTATGCTGTTTTATGAGTTATCTAATGTTTTTATCGACATTCTTAAGTTCTGAAACAATATGTAGTAGTAGCCTATGCTGACTACGGTAGCAGTAGCTTGCAGTACTAGACTTTATATTGTTCTGTTCTTTACGCGATTTATTGCTGTACGTACAGTGTTGTGTAATTTTTGTTTTGCTTGAGTAAACATGATTTTAAACGTTACAGTTTTTATTACTAAACCAGTGGTCCGGTCCCGAGGTGGCCGAACTAGAGGGAGTCTACTGTAAACATATTGATCAAATTTGGAAAATACATTCATTTCTTATTAAACTATAGAATTAACATTTTACAAGAAAAACACTTTTTTACCCTTCCTGTTGCAGCAAACCTAAATACTCGTTAAACTAATTCTATTTAAATAGGGAATAAATTTGATATTTTTAAGGAGACGTTTTTGTGTAAATCCAATCAGGCAAATGGCAATTCGCTTTGTCTGCAATTTTGCTGCGGCGGAGGTCTGTTCTAATATCTTTGATAATAGTTACAATAATTCCTTTAAGTCAACAGCTGATCTTATGCATTTGCTTTTGTGACAAGTCCTGGTTACATAAGGAAAGGATTACATTGAAACTTTGAGGGCCCGTGGTGCGGATTACTTGGAGAATCTGTTAACACCATATAGATGTTAGCACTCACCGATATGGTCTTTTTCACCATGCAAAATTTTAAATTGATCGCTTCAGCCATCTAGGAGGAGTTTGCATATTACGAAATGCATAAGGGTCGACGTATAAGAGCTTCGCTCAATGATAGGAATATGTGGTTTAGTAACTAACTGTGAATAAAAGTATCAATTTAACAACAAACAAGAAAGCTAAATTGTTGATTGTCTTACTTGGCTGAGCAGCAGGAACTCTTGTCTGGGCAGTTTGCCAGTTCTGTCGAGTGACGCTTCTCTGGGGCTGTGTTTAGTACGAGACCTAGCCTCCAGTGATACAGAGCGCTTTGAAGCTCCTCCTCCTTCACTGGACCAACATGAACAAGACGCAGTCAAGTTAATGTACATTTTTAGATTAAGTTTACGTATCATTAATCTACACTAGCACACTCTGTCTGTGGCTCGGTTCACCACATTCATTTTTACTCCAAAACTGGCTAGAGGTTCAACATGGGAATGGGAACTCTAGTTTTATCGATAGTTTTAGAAGGGATCACCAATGTAAAGATTAATATAAAAATAATGCACTCGTTCATGATTCCCAAAATTTGCCCCCCCCTCCCCCTCCCCACCGTGTAACTAGGTTATACACAAACTTTGAATCTTAAGAGGCATGATGATAAAATCTCACCTGGGACTTTTCCCCCAAACACTTGTGGGAGTGGAGCTCAATCGCTGTTTTGAGTTGTGCCGTTTGGTGTTAGTAAATTCTGAAAAAATAGAGCACCTCATAAAAATAAAAACAATATCTGTAAATGTCAAAAATATAATCAAGTAATCAAGATAATTAAAATACACTATAAACACCTCCAGTACAGTAAACCTGCCAACTGAGAAAATTTATATTTGCCTGATTGGATTGTTCCTAAAATATTTCTTTGCACATGTCAGATTTATTTCCCTTTAAATAAAATTAACATAGTCAATTTAATACGATTCGGGAACAGAGTCAAGTGTATGGAGAAAGTAGTGGGTTACAGTACCTTTCATCATAAATGTTGGTTTAAGGCAGGGTAGTATTAAGCAGGAAACCCACTAGTCCGAAGCTCTGGGTCCCGTTCAGTCTCCGTCGCCTTCCGCCTTTTTTAAGCCAATAACCCAATGGTCCGATAAGTTCTGTCAGTAATCAACAAGAAATTAGACGTTTCAGGCTTATTAGCAAATTTTCCTATAGGGAAGTAGCTATTACTGTCCGCGAGAGTAAAGAAGTCCCTTGAGCCAGAGCGATACGCAGCTATGTTTGGAGGGTATCTCACACTATTTGCAGGCGCTAAGCATCTGAGTGCCTCGCCTCGATGTCTGTCTGTAAACAACTGTTGTAAACATAATTACTCATATCTTTGTTTTGGTAAGTGGATTATCATCATGTGGTCACGTCATTTGATTCAGTGCAGTCTCGTATGTTTGCGTATTGGAGTTCTGTTTTGTTTTGGACAGTCCTTGCAGCTATGGATTTATCAAAACAAAATGTGGTGCTACTATATATATAGTGGAGAGAGGGATTTAATTAGACGGGTGATCGAGTATTGTGACAATGAATGTAAAGACAAAAAGTGATCAGTGCCGATAGAAAAGGCAACAGAACGTGCCGCAAACTATTGTAAAATGTCATAAAAAACTATTAAACGAATTAGAAAAACCTGCAAACAAACTCCGGATGTAAAACTGTACACTCGGGAAAAAACGCAAGAAGGCTGATCATTATTTATAGACCCACTTTCACTTGTGTTTTGAACGTTACTTTTCAGAAAATTTAGTCAGTTGATAAAGCAATACCAAATATTTGTTTGTTTACGTCGGCAAAATCTAAAAAAGATAGTTAACATTCTTTTGCCGTTGTTATGTTTTGGCTGTAATAACCATATACAAAAAGAAAGAGTTTATAAGTGGACTGTATAAATATTAACTGATGTTTGTTACCTTGATGTTGCATTGGTTTTCACTAGGCCTAATCCTCTTCATGTATTTTCCATTTAAAAATGTATTGTCCAGGGGCCCCTTTTTGTGGTTCTCTTCATATTGCATACTGGCAATTTAGTTAACTATATCTTGCTATTATATTTTATACGTTTCTTGAACTGCACTTGATATAAATTTTGCACTGAGAACTGATCTGATGCTTACTGGCATCAACATGGTCATAGTAACACAGTTAAAGTTAAAGTGAGAGAGAGATTGCACTGTACTGTATGATTTTTGGACTGCTTGCATTTACAGGACTGACAACTTAAAAAATGAAATTATCCTGCTCATACCAACTTGGTATTATAAGAAATTAAATTAACTATTCTTTCTTGCTTACTAATAACAAATTAGTAATTTTGACAATATCTTTTGTCATGTTAAATAAAATAAATAATAAAGTAATAATTAGATGACAGCCGTAGTAAATAATGTAATGATGGATTTTCGCAGGTGATAAACATGGAACGAAAACAGGTTATTTCACAGTAGTGTAGCAAAAAAAAAACTATTATCTGTTTTGAGAGAAAGGATTAATTTTAAAGGGTCGAATGGGCACTTCGGCGTCTTTACAAAGATATGGGGTTAAAGTGGAAGAAATGCGATTACAAAAGAAAATATTTGATTGAAAGGCCTGACATTATTAATTGGAGGTTTAAGTATTTGCGAGAGATGAGGAAGCTAAGGGAACAAAATAAGAAAATTTTCTATCTGGACGAAACTTGGATGGGCAATAATTTAACGTTCCAGAAATGTTGGCAAAGTGTAGACGTCGATGGTGTGTTACCTGATATGAACGCGTCATACCGCGTGAAGAGTGAAGACGGCTCTAATTGTCCCGCGAAACGTTCAAGCGTAACGCCTTCAAACTACGAATAGGCCGGAGCTCAGGGGACTTCTTTACTCTCGCGGACAGTACCTTAGGTCTCCTCATGGTAAACCTCGGCCCGGGACCGATTTACTTTTTAATTTTGATGTCCCCAGAGGCCAAAATCACCATATGTTCAAAATGTTATATGTGTGAATGTCCGACTTTGATAAAATTTGGTTTGAATGTGTATGGCGGGATAAACTTGAAGGAGTTTGCAAACCAGCATGATCGGACGATGGGAACAGGGTTTTACGGGAAGTTTTACCTATGGGGTTAAATTTGGGTTTTCTCATTTTTGACTCTTAAAACAAAAAATTTCCCAATTTAATCTTTAGACCATTTTGAAGAGCTTAAAAAACAAATAATTTAGTATATCAAACTGTTTTTGTACGGTTATTGGTAACGGAGAAAATTTAAACAAATGTAAATTTGAAATTCCTATGTTGTTCTTTTGGAGAGTATTGTAAAATGTTGTGGTTTGCTTATTTTATACTAAGCTATTAATATTACAAAAATCACTTTATTACTCTCAATGTAGCAGCAAACCTGGCACTTGTTAAACCTAATGTTATTTAAATAGCTTTAATTGAAAATCCAATCAGGCAATAGACAATAGACAATAGACAATGCTCTTTATTTATATATTCATGGGAGAATATAGTACATGCGTCAAAACAAAAGAGTAGAAATCTAGCCAGGCAAATGGAAATTTGCTTAATCTGAAGGTTTGCTGAGGTGGGGGTATTTATAGCTAAATCTGTTGCTCACCTTGAGGTTTGCGTCCCATTATGGGGCTGGTAGGATGTCCTCCTCCAATGGTTCTAATAAGCCTCCTTAAAGTCTTTCCCTGAACTTCAAGACTGGCGGGAGTTTCTCTATTGACAACATAATTTAAATCAGAACAGATAGTTTTACTTTCACAGTAAAAAGTATACCTATTTTGGAGTTCGTGGCTGGAAGAATAGAAAAGGTATACATGTAAACTTAGAAAGAATTTCCAACTACATTATCAAATAATGAAAAACTTGAACAATCATTTAGAGACATTCTAAGTTAGTGGCTTGTTATATCTTATTATATCTGTTAGTCTGGACTTATAATTATTTTTATTTCTATTTTAAATTTATTACAGCTGATGTTTTGTTTACAATTCTAAGATAGAGGAATGAATAAAAACAAGACTTTATTTTTAGTTTAATTCATACAATTATGAGTCGAGTTGTAATTATTTAATTCATTAAGTACGTAACAATGGCAACTCAGAAGTGAAAATAAAGAGATTAAGCATTACTTACAAGTTTGAAGAGAACAGAACATTCTAAATGGATAATCAAGAAGTGACTGAACAAAACAAAGCAATATTGGAAACATTACAAGCCCAAACTGCTGCTCTTGCTCATTTAGTAAGACAACTTGCAAGTCCTAAACCAGAAAACAAAGGAGAAGACAGTAATGGCACAACACCTATCTTCAATTATTCAATAAATTTTGAATCTTTCGATGAAAAAGTGGAAACATTCAAATCTTATAAAGAGAGATTGGAAAACTTCTTTGAACTGAAAAAGTTACATGGAGAGTCAAAAGAAATTAACCCTAGCAGTGGCCAATGTTAGAAGTGGGGAATGGCCAACCCATTTTGGCGATTTTGCAGACCTTTTTTTTTGAAAATTTGTAAAAATTCAACCGTACAAGTAAACCTAACCAACCATATATTCATTTTGTTCAGAAAGAAAAGGAGAATCTAGAAATAGTAATATAATAATGATTTAGACAGTGTATTTTTTCGGTAAAGTTAAAAAAAATAAAAAGATTTTTTTTCTTTTGAATTTTCAAAAGCAGCCTCGGTAAAATTTGTCTACAAATTTTTTATGGGAAATTCATTATAGGCCTATACATTTTGTAGACAATCTAATTCCCTACATAGAAATATATAACTTGTTAGGAAAATATTTTCTTTTATAAGTTTTTGGGGCGAAATATAATAACAAACGGAGAACCGAAAAAATTGAAAACCTTACAGTGTTAGTTTGTGTTGTAAAAAGTTATATAATATTTTATGTGTATACTAATAATGAAATATGTCATGTTTGTAAAGCTAATAAAGTAAGGAATCCAAAAAAGTCATAAAGCTTATGGTAAAAATAGTTTTTTATTTATAAATAAAATAATGCTTTTGTATTTTAGCGATTTTGTGAAAAAAAATCACAGTATTTAGTAAAAAACTTTTGTACCAAATGTTTTTACTTCAAACCAACATAATCATTTTGTAGTGTATTCAATTACCAACATAAAAATGTATAACACGTTGGGTAACAATTTTTGTTGTTACGTGTTAGGGGCATAATAATACAAATAAACGGAAAACCGCAAAATAGAACCGCAAGAAAATACAAACTTTTATAAACACAATTTCACACTACCGGTATTCAGTAAATATTCATGCATAGTAAAATGCATGAAGATAACTGTTATATACACACACACATTTCTCTAACAATACGAAATAATAACGAATTTAGTAATAAATCACGGATAAAACTAAAGCGAAAACTCACCGGCAACAACACGCAATGGCGAATAGGCTACAAGGCACTTAGTGTATGAGACCTTGACAGTAGTGACGCACTTTCGTCGTCTTAGTGAGAGAAAACGAAAATAACCCTGAGCGCAGGGCTGCCACTATCACAAGCTACATTTCTTCCTCTTCAAAATGACATATTATATGACTAGTAATAATAACTTACACTGTATGTAATTCTTATTTTCCGTACTAGGGTATTTCACTGGTTGGCCATTTGTTATAAATTTCTAAAACAGCTGTTTTCATAAAATCGGATCTGTTGTGCAATCAATATTTAGTTCTAAATATCGATACCACAATGAAGATAAAATCAATGGCTATCCAGTGGTACCACCCGCAACATTCCAAGACGAAAATTACCCGAGCAGGATAATGCCAAACAAGTCGTGTTTTGACAGTTCCCAAGTGTCAGCTGCTAAAGTCGTGCCGCGCCAAAAATTCGATTTCTAATCGCCGTGACATTGTTTTATACCTGCTACAGGGTTTGTTTATATAATAAAATGAAAGTTCAGAATGTGATCTTTCGAATGGTATATATATTGTTCATATCAGAGTTGATTATAAGCGGTTTTTCCACCGCTAAAAAAATTTCGGCCCATACTAGCGTATTACGCTGGTGGCCATTCCAGGCGTCACGGCAAACGAGCATGGCCACTGCTAGGGTTAAGGAAACAAAAGCAAGAATATTGATAAATGCACTCAGTGAAAAATATTATTCCCTCATATCAAGTTTATCGTCTTGATGCCGTTCATCGTCTTTCACCGAACCTCAATGACCCTGAGGTGCCGAGGGGGATTATAAACAAATTCTGCCAGCCCATCGACATGGAGATGATGAGGAGCAAGACTAGAGTGAAGAATGGTTTCTCAGCAGCAGAGCTAGGCTACAACAGCGAGAGCCAGGTGTGCGTCAACCTGTCACTCACTAAGGAGACCATGGACCTCTGGAAGGTGACGCGCAAGTATGAAGAAGACAGTGGCTACAAATACACTTGGATAACCAGTGTTTATTTCCTACGGCAAAAGGATGGTGCGAGACCGGTTCACATCACTGAAAAGGCCGACCTTGACCTGTTAAAATAAACCTAAAATATGTTCCTATTTATGTATTTAAATCTAATATAAATTTAAGCATGATATACATTTTTTTAAATTTTTGCATGATTTTTTGTTTAGTCTTCATGTTTTTATTTAAAACATTGAAAACAATAAGGTTGTAATTTATCATCAGAATGTTAGAGGTTTAAGGTCCAAATTAAATACCTCCCGTTTAAATTTATTAGAGAATTTATCCAATAGTAGCACTCACTGAAACTTGGCTTAATCATTCAATAAGCAGTTCTGAACTTTTTTCTGAAAATTATACTGTATTGAGACGTGATAGAGATGCAATGCTTACAGGGAAGAATAGGGGTGGTGGGGTTGCTAGCAGATGATTCTATTAATATCCAGAGATTAGTTACAGACAGATGGAGATAATATTTGGGCTTGTTTAAAATTTACTAAAACTTTTTCTTTGATATTAGCTGTAGTTTATTTTCTACCAATCTCGCATGTTAGTTCTTAAAAATCATTTTTTGATAAGTTTGATTTATTTGTACGTAGACAACATATAATAGTAATAGGGGATTTTAATCAACATATTGTAGGGTCTGAATATGATTTATCTCAGGGAAATGAGACTTGCAAACAGTTAATTGTGTTATTGTAGTTTACATAATTTGGTGTAAAAAAATAATATATTAAATGTAACTGGTAGGACTTTGGATCTAGTTTTAAGTGATATAAATAATTTGACTATTGAAAAGTCTAATCCTATTGTAAATATTAATGGTTACCCCGCGCTCTTATGTGAATTCCAGATGGTATGGAGGGGAAGAGAGAGGATACAGACCTCAGTGCTGACACACCACACACATACACATATGATTTTACAAGAACAGATTTTCTTAGAGTTTACTGTGACATCCGTGACTGCGACTCGTCTGAAATCTTTTAATGTGATGACTTAAATAACACTTTGGAAATGTTCTACAGCAAAATACATACAATTCTACACACACACGTTCCAGCAAGACGCCCCAAATGCCGAACCAAACATCCCTCATGGTTCTCGCACAAATTAAAATTTATGATAAAAATAAAGAAAAAGTTCACAAACGTAAAAAAATATCAAATGAATCATCTTTGAGATCAGTTCAAACAATTGCGTTCTGAAATAAAATTGAGACTAAAGACAGATTATGATGCATATATTACAAATATCAAAATGAACTGTGCTGATGTTTTAGTCAAACCACTTATTAAGTATAAATTCGTACAAAATATATGAACACAACTATTGAATCATGTTTATTTCTATATAATGAAAAGTAAACATTGAATTATTTACAATATGAAATTAGTCCAGTCATATGATAAATATTAAATTTAAATGAGAGAGTTTTAAATATATAACAATTCCTCCCCACTTATTTGAGAGAAAACTCATTTACAAATCCATCCTTTTGATGGGTTTCCTGATTCTCGTTGATCGGCGAATCTTGGGGGCATCTGGTTGTGAGTATGCGGCGTTTTTTTTGTCTGCTGACTCCTGGGCCTCTTGTTGTCTGCTGGTACTCGGCTCCTGGGCCTCTTGTTGTCTGCTGGTACTCGACTCCTGGGCCTCTTGTTGTCTGCTGGTACTCGACTCCTGGGCCTCTTGTTGTCTGCTGGTACTCGGCTCCTGGGCCTCTTGTTGTCTGCTGGTACTCGACTCCTGGGCCTCTTGTTGTCTGCTGGTACTCGGCTCCTGGGCCTCTTGTTGTCTGCTGGTACTCGACTCCTCGGCCTCTTGTTGTCTGCTGGTACTCGGCTCCTGGGCCTCTTGTTGTCTGCTGGTACTCGACTCCTGGGCCTCTTGTTGTCTGCTGGTACTCGGCTCCTGGGCCTCTTGTTGGCTGGTTGTACTCGGCTCCTGTGCCTCTTGCTGGCTGCTTGTACTTGATATTTCCTCGTTATGTATTGGACTTTTTGTCTCAGTATTAGGCATAAAGTTCACTGTAGGACTCGATGTTCCAGAGACTGCAGTACCTTCCCCGCTTGAAGTGCTACTTAAGAAATTTTCAGTATCATGTAAACTTTCTGAATTGCCTATCAATTTACTTAACATGCCGTATCTTGATTTTCCCACGAATGGCGGTTGTCTAGAGCAACTTTGATTGGTGTTTCGGAATATGAAAGTTCGATGTGTTTGCTTAGGAGGTACTTTGGCTATTTGGTCACATCGTCTGTTTGGACTTTCTTGCCTTGTTTGGGGCAATGAGCTAAGTAGAGGGCTTTTGTAAGAAGTAGAATCTTTTGGCACTTCACAAGCTTGAAGTTGATTAAAGTGCCGTTTGATTACATACCCTTCATCAAGTTCTACAAGGTAGTGAAGTCGCCCTAGTCTTTCCACCACAGTTCCAAATTTCCACAGATTTGATCCTGCATAATTTCTTGACTGTACTCTCTCGCCAATATTGTAATGCTTGTTAAATATTGGTTGTTGAGCCTCATTTTTGTCATCTTCACTAGGTCTTAAGAGATCAAGTCTTTGTTCTCAAGTTCCTGCCAAACATTAATTGTGCTGGGGATGCACCAGTACTTAGTGGTGTAGCTCGGTAGCAAAATAATAGTGCACATAGTTTTTCATGTAGAGTGCCTGGTTCAAACTGCATGCACCTCAGTTTTGTCTTGAGTGTTTGGCAAAATCATTCCGCTTGGCCATTTGTAGAGGGGTTTCCTGGTGCAATGAATCGTTGTCTTATTCCTTGGCGTTTGCAGAATGCTTGAAACTCTGCTGATTTAAAAATTGTAGCATTGTCACTGACCAATATTTCTGGTAGGCCATGGTGACTGAATATTTCTCTGAGGTAATGTATAGTACTGGCAGTTGTTGGTGCACTTTTTATCGGATATATTTCTGGCCACTTTGACCTAGCATCTACAACAATCAAGAAGTTGTGATGTAGAAAAGGTCCTGCATAATCTATGTGGACTCGCTGCCAATTGCGTTTTGGTATTTCCCAAACATGGGTAGGAGCCTTCTCTGGATTTTTCTTATTCTCACAACATGCCTTACAACTTTGCTACCAAACTCTCAATATATGTATCAATATTTTTCCAGTAGCAGTAGTTTCTTGCTAGACTCTTCATCCGCACTATTCCTACATGAGTTGAATGTAGTTCTTGAAGGATTTTCGGTTGTAGCTTTTTTGGAATAACAACACGATTTCCTCTAAAAATAATTCCATCTTGAAGTGATATTTCTGGGTCAGCCACTTCTCCATTTAGGAGTTTTTCCTTTAAACGAGAGAGTTCTTCATCAAGTGATGTTTCTTTTTCTATGTCTTTAGCCATCATTGTATCGGTTGTTATGCAGTGTATTGTGTCTCTTCGAACAGTGTAATCTTCATCAACAACATTGATAATCTCTTCTTTTATAGGTAAGGGATGTCTTGAGAGGTAATCTGCATTACAGTGGTCACTTGATTTTTTATGTACAATCTCATAATCAAATCCTGAAAGAAAATGAGCGTATCTAAGCATCCTGGATGATGTCAACAGTGGTAGTTTCTTGTCTGGATGGAATATGGTCATCAGTGGTTTGTTTTCAATGACTAGAGTTAACTTTCTTCCGTATATATAATCAAACATTTTTTTACAACCCCAATATACAGCAGTTGCTTCTCTGTCCAATTGGCTATAATTGCGCTCTGCAGCAGTGAGGGATCTACTGGCAAACACAATGGGCCTCTCTTCATTATTTGGCATTTTATGAGACAGCACAGCTGATAAGCCAACAGGACTAGCATTTGTGGCAAGTATCACGGGTAAGTCTGGATTGATTGGAGTAAGAACTGTGTCACTTGCTATCTCTTCTTTAACATGAGTAAAAGCTTTTTCACATTCCTGGGACCAATGATAAAGTTTGTCTTTCCTTAGAAGCTGATGTAAAGGGTTAAGCAGTGTAGATGCATCTTTGATGAACTTTGAATAGTACTGTACTAGTCCAAGGAACTGACGCACTCCTGTGATATTTGACGGGCGGGGAGCATCCTGGATTGCCTTTACCTTTTCTGGTGATTTCTGAATACCATCTTTGCTGATGATATGACCCAGATACTGCACCTTTCTCTCAAAAAACTTGCATTTTTCAACATTCACATGTAGATTGTGTTGTTCTAATTTTTCTAACATCTTTATGAGTCTAGATTTGCATTCTTCAAAATTACTGCCTTGTACAACAATATCATCAAAATAAGCAACTGTCCCTTTAAGGTTTTGTACTACTTGGTCAATATATTTATGAAATTCATTTGGAGCTGTCTTGATTCCAAAAAACAGTCTTTTGGCTCGATATGTACCCTTATGTGTGGTAATTGTCTGGATTTTAGAACTTTCAGCGTCCACTGTAAGATGTAAATAAGCCTTGTAAATGTCTAACGTGCAAAAATAGTTTCCATTCCTCATTTTGTTAAGGATATCCTCTATTCTTGGTATTGGATAACGACTGTCATGTAGTTGTTGGTTTACAGTTACCTTGTAATCCGCGCAAATACGGACCGATCCATTTCCTTTTGGAATCACAACAATCGGTGTACCCCACAGTGGTACCCCACAAAAGCAAAATTCTCTATACACGACATGCACACAGAACCCTAGTCATGTCCAGGACTAAATCTTTCCCGGACCGTACACCACTTTCAGTGTTTTTTACATTTTATTCAATCTCTTTGCTTTATTTTTCAATATTGTGTGGTAAATATTAAGTTTACAACAAATGTGTAAATACAAAAAAGATAGCTTGTAAAAATATCTTTCAAACAAAAAAAGAATCATCCCGATCCGATAAACGGTTTGCGAAATATACGCATTTAAAAATTGCCGAGCCGCCATCTTGATGACGTCATAGTTGGAAAACGTACCAGGTGCGAACTTGACACCCGAGTGGAAAACACTACCTAAGACACCTATATTGAAATGCAAAAGCAAAATTCTCTATACACGACATGCACACAGAACCCTAGTCAGGTCCTGGACTATTATACAACAAATTGCTCGGTCATGTATCAAATTTTATCACTCCTCATCAACATGGATTTTTTCCTGGTCGATCAATTAATTTGAATTTAATAAATTTTTAACAGTACATTATAAATTCTATTTATCAGAACATTCAAGTTGATTGTGTGTACACCGATTTTGAAAAAGCATTTGATAGAGTTAATCACTTAGTGTTACTGTCTAAGCTGCATTACTATGGTCTATCTGAGAACACATTAAGATTATTTTCTTCATATTTATACAGACGTAAACAGCATGTAACATACAATGGTGCATGCTCCAACACATTTCTGGTGGACTCAGGTGTCCCCCAAGGTTCAAATTTAGGGCCTTTATTATTCATTGCATAGTATTTATAAATTATATAACCAGATGTGTAAAACATATTAAAACTTTAATGTATGCTGAAGATTTAAACATTTTCAAAAATATTAATACAATCTTGGATTCTCAACAGCTATAAACTGATATTGATGAACTAATTGCTTGGAGTAAAGACGATATATTATTTAATATTATTAAATTAGATTATATATTCATAGTTTCAAGCTTACTGAGCTATGATGTAGAAGTCGTCCATGAGCTCAGGTGGTGGGGAGACATTGGTGTTGCGTTGCTGCAGTGAGGAGAGCCGCAGTCTCAGACTGTCATTCTCTTCTGTCAACCTCCTCACTCGACTTGCCTCCTCCTCGTAGCAGGCAAGCACTGGTAGTGGCATGGACTATTGAACATTTAGTGTTACTCAAAATACACAGGAAGTCTCAAATAAAATAAATAGACTACAGCACCTTTTAGAAGAAACCAAACCTGACATATTAATTCTGACAGAACATGGACTGAAACCTGACACAATAAACAGCACCGTCATAGCTGCTGGATTCTGCCTCAAGGCTCACTATAGTAGAATAGAACACAGAAAGGGAGGTGTATGCATTCTTGTAAAAGAAAGCCTTGAGAGTAGCACAGTAGCCATAGATGTTTCCAAGTACTGTAAAGAACTGTTATTTGAAGCAGCTCTTATAAAAATAAAATTCAAGAACTCAAACATGTTTATACTGGGAACCTACAGACCACCAAACGGAGACCTTGAGGAATCATTAAACACCTTTACAGAACTAATTGAGGAAACAAAAATTGAAAATTCTCCTCTCATCATCATGGGAGATATTACGTTGATTTGTGTAACCCTAACAGGAAACACACGATCTTAAATGAAACTCTTGCTATGCACAACATCCAGAGACTACAGCTTCCTCCTAAAAGAATAACAAATCTAACACAAACCTCCATTGACTGGATATGTACAAATATGGATACAAACAAACTCACTCCAGAAGTCATCAGTGCAGGACTTCGGATCATACTGCTCAACTCTGTACTGTAAACTTCAACTCACACATCAACTCAAGTTATCCAGCCCAAATTGGACGCTGCCTAAAAAATAAAAACCTGCAAGACCTCAAGTATCTTCTCAGTCAAGAAAACTGGCTTAGTGCTACCTCAATAAACAATGCCGAAGAAGCTTTTAAAACTTTTAGTAACATAGTGAGAGTAGCTATGGATGCAGCCTGCCCCCAAAAGAAGATAAAACACAAAGAAAACATAAACTAAAATTCTGACCAGTTGATGAAAGCTGAAAATAAATCTAAAGCTATCTGGGATACAATAAACACAGTGTGGTCCAAAAAGGAAACACCCCTAAATGAAATAACCCTTCAAGTAGATGGCAAACTTATAAGTAATGTGACCCATGTTGCAGAGCATTTGAATACATTTTTTACACAGGTAGCAGAAAAAACAGTAGAGAAACAAAAACACCTGAAGAACACAGCTCAAACCCCACACGTAACTCAAACAGGTCCACCGTTTTCCTCCTTTCAAAGCACGGACGAGAGGGAAGTTAAAATGATTATAAACAAACTTAACCCTCCGAGTGTCCCTCTTTTTGGCCTTAATGTCTGCCTATTTTTTGCTCATTTGCAAGGTTTTATTAAAACGGATCTGAGAAGCTTGAAAACAATGTTAATTATACTGTTTTATATACCATTTTGTTTGGAAAATCATGGGCTTCAATATTATAGATAGAAAATAAGGAACATTTGTTTCAAACAAAATTTGTAGGTAAAAAAAATATTTTGGAAAATTAAAAAAAAAAATAAGTTTGCGCTCAATGAAATTGTATAAATTATAGGCCTATAAATATTTGAAAATAGCCACTTTGTTCTAAATTTTATGAGGACTACAAATATATAATAATATAAGGAAGTAGATTTGCATATAAATAAGTTATGGGCATGTTGTAGATTGAATGAATAAAACCATTATAAACGAAATTACCTTTAGTTAGGCTTTATTGAACATAGAATCTACCATGATATAGAACTAACAATATGAAACAAACTAACATCATAGTAAACAAAAACAACTTCTAAACATTTGAACAGATGTTACAATGTACAGATAGAAAGGAATTATATGACATTCTTCCCCTCCTAGCTGACATAGTCTTTTAGATACAAAGGCGGGTGTTTACTTCTGGAGCTTCTCCTTAGAGCAATCTGGTCCTGATTCAGTCTTTCCTCGTCTTGGAAGATAGGCTCAGGTCCAGCATCAACTTGAGAACTTCTTTCATTTATTTGTAGATTGGTGTTTGAGTCTTCTTCATGTCATAAATTGGTGTTTGAGTCTTCTTCATGTCGTAGATTGGGATTTGAGTCTTCTTCATGTCGTAGATTGGAGTTTGAGTCTTCTTCATGATGTGACACTTCTCCTACAGGTGCTAATTGCCTGGAACTCACTGTAGTTTCACGGCCATCTGCATATCTTATGTGAGAATACTCAGGATTCCCCTCAAGGAGCAGTACTTCTTCAACGAGTGGTTCGTATTTCGAGCTCCTGACAGGCCGTTTCATGAGCACTGGACCTGGATTCATGAGCCAAGATGGAGTTGTCTTACCATTACTAGATCTTCTAGAAAAGAGAAATAGTCTTTCATGCGGTGTTGTATTTGTTGAAGTACACAATAACGACCGGATAGAGTGCAAAGCTTCTAAATGTACTTTTTCCCAATCAGATATGTCCAGATTTTTACTTTTAAGTGATAGTTCGATTGTCTTCCATATAATACCAACATACCTCTCAGCTTGTCCGTTGCCCTGAGGATTGTAAGCTGTTGTACGACTGGTAGCAACTCCTAGTGAACATAAAAATGATTTTAGTTCTTGAGACATAAAACATGAACCTCTGTCAGAATGAATACCTATAAGCCGGTACTCCAAACATTGAGAAAAGTTCCTTAAGTCTCAGAATAACAGTCCTAGCAGCTGTGTCTTGAGTAGGGAACGCGAATGGAAATCGAGAGTATTCATCTACGACTATTAAAAGATAACGATTTCTACTCTTGGAAGGAAGTGGCCCTTTAAAATCTATATTCAGTCTTTCGAATGGTTGAGTAGCTTTAATAAGTTGTCCTTCATGTTTGTGGAATCGAGGTTTTACCTCTAAGCAGGTTCGACAGGAGGAAGTTACTTTTCTGATCTCATCCAGTGAATAAGGCAAGTTTTTACTCCGAGTTCAATGATACATTCGAGACACTCCTGGATGACATAAAGCGTCATGTAGTGATACAAGGTTTGATAAACTTCCTTCCATCGATGAACACACCCTGGATAAAGCATCTGCTGTTTTGTTCTCTTTTCCAGCTCTGTAAATGATCTCATACTTATAACAGGATAACTCAATTCTCCATCTCATTATTTTATCATTCTTGATTTTGCTTGCATTCCGATCACTGAACATGAATGCTACAGATCGTTGGTCTGTTATAAGGCGAAAGTGTCTGCCTATGCGATAGTGCCTCCATTTTCTTAACGCTTCAACTATTGCATATGCTTCTTTCTCAATAGATGAATGTTTCTGTTCCGAGTTAGTAAGTGTTCTAGAGAAAAACGCTACGGGTCTACCATCAATAGTCAAAGCTGTTCCTATTGCATGATTTGATGCATCAGTTTCAACTGTTAACAACCCATCACAGTCAATCGAAGAAGTTACTGCATTAACAATGTCTTGTTTAAGTCTTTGGAATACACATTTAGCTTCTTCATTCAGTTGAAATGAACTTCTGTTTAAACAGCTCACCTTCTCAGAAAATTTAGGAATGAATTGTGAATAGTGGGAGAACATACCAAGAGCTCTGTGAAGAGAGTTTGAGTTGGTTGGAATGGGAAGATCTCGAAGTGGTTGCAGACGATCTGGATCTGGTCTTATTGATTTATGACTGATTACATAACCTAATAGATGGATCATGGCTGTAGAAAACTTGCATTTATGTTTGTTCAAGGTAAGATTATATTTGGAAACAGCTTTCATAAAATTGCATAAAGTTCCTGTCATGTTCAGCCTGATCATTGCCACAGATTGTTATATCATCCAGATAGACCTGAACGCCTTCAAGTTTTTCATAAGTGATTATGTTGGTTAACGTAGGTTGAAAAGCAGGGACACCATTACGAACTCCAAAAGGCACTCGTGTGAATTGGTACAAGCTTTTCAAGCAATTCCCGAAAGCTTCAAATGCCGTGTAAGGTTTGTCATTTTCTGTTATTGGGATTTGATGATAGGCACTCTTAAGATCAATAGAACTATAAACTTTGTATGAAGCTACTTTGTTGACTATGTCATCAATCCTAGGGAGTGGAAATGCATCAAGTTCTGTAAAACGATTAATTGTCTGTGAATAATCGACAACCATTCTCCGTTTGTGGTTATCTGATGAAACAACAAGGACTTGTGCTCTCCATGGAGACCTGCTTTCTTCAATAATACCCTCTTTTAACAGTAATTGAATTTCACTTTCAATAAACTGTTCGTCAATTGCTGAGTGCCTTCGAGATTTTGTTGCAATAGGCTTACAATCTGGAGATAGATTACGAAATAGTTCTACTGGCTCAACATTAGCTAAAGCCACACTACATATGTTGAGAGGCGACTCTTTTCCTCCAAATTGTACTTGTAAACTTGAGTGTCTTTTTAGAATGTCATGTCCTATAATAATGTCAGAACATAAGTTTGTAAGCACGCTGAAGACCACATTCTTGTAAGTATGATCTTGTAATTTAAGATTGATTTTACAATACCCTTTTATTGAAGAACGCAGAGTTGTGGAAGCCATTGATACCTCTCCCCCATTACATGGAATGACAGGGATGTTGAATCTAAGTGCTGAGCTTTGATTGATAAAACTACCAGAACTACCAGTATCTATAAGAGCGTATGCATCGACTCCATTTAATTGTACTGGGACTACAGCTTTACTCAAACACGATGGTACTGAGGCAATACAATTTGACTGATGGACTGATGCCTTTACTGTAGAAGTTGGTGTTTTGGATTTTCTACATACCTTTTGGTAATGACCTTTAATGCCGCATCCTCTGCATATAGCTTCTTTAGCTGGACAAACAGCTCTATTGTGTTTCTTAAAGCCGCAGAAGTAACATGTCTGATTGAGTGAACACGCTATATTTTCTTGAGATGGATACGATTCTGGCTTGGCAGCAGAAGGTGTTGGATCAGGACTGGACAAGTATGGATTCTTTTCAGTGATAGGTTTTGAGGCTGCAGCGTTGATTGTTGGTAAGCACTTGTCTAAGTTGTACTGTTCAGAGTGATATTTAGCAAGTTCGAGTGATCTGGCTTGAGAAACTGCTTCATCTAAAGACA